GGAGGTAAGTGCTACTAGCGGCAGGCTGACTAGGAGTGGAGCGGAGAAGGTGGAGGATAATGTGGAAGGTTGAAAGGAGCAGGGGGAATACTTGATAGGGGCGGAGAAGTAAGGAGAAGACTTAGAGCACGGCTCTAAGTCAGAGCGGAGGGTTGGAGGTGATGACAAGATGAAACTTGTGTCTGGAGGAGGCAAGGTCCTACTGAAAATTCTCACAAGTGGAAACTGCAAGAAGACAAGTAATATTAAGACTGGGGAAAATATCTAAGTACAGGATATGTTATATATGAGGCAGTGGTCAGGATAACTATATTGTAAAGCTATGTACCAAGGATATAATTTGTAAGTACTTACACAGGTGAAGACATAAGTTGGAGCGGATATTAATATGTACATGTTAGATCAGTGATAGAGCGGTAAGAGGAATTACCAGTGATCCGGAAGTAAGGTCTATGTACCAAAGGGGAAAGTATATATCTAAAAGGGGAAAGAGGTTCCAGTTGAATGGAGACATTATGGAAGGGGACTGGTTATGGAAGGGGACTGGTTGGGCGGTTGAGCGGAAGCATAGGGGCGGATGCGGACAATGATTGGATGGAGCAGAGGATGGATGGAGCGGAGGTGGTCGGAAAGCGGAGTGGATATTATTATTGGAGTGGTCAGATCAGGTATATGACACTTACCCATAGTATATGGCTTAGGGCATATACTTGCTGTATATCCAGAACTTACCATTACAATGTCTATATAGCATTCATAGTTTCTCTAGTGTATTGTTCAGGTATACAATACATGTAGCACACCCTTTCTGTCTTATAGTAGCTGATATGTCTAACTTATTTCAGGTAATGCATCATGATGATAAAACACTGGCATATCAAACACACATGTTCCACATTATGGCTGACATATCCAACGCATCTAATGAAATGGTCGGAAGGTATCCAATAAGTTTCTGGGTGTGAAAGGATGGCTTGCAATGAATAGACTTCAAGATATTGCCAATAGTGAGATAGACAGGGTATGCGGTTTTATCACCTTGAAATTGGCAGAGCTGGGTCTTATCTGAGCTGAGTATGACAGGAACAAGGGTAGCACCATCTGGAAGAAGTGTCTGAAAGACACTCAATACATTGCTAAAGAAACATTCAAAACCACAGACCTGTGCCTCCCCAGACCAGTCGCCACTCATCAGTTCATCATAAATGCACTCGACTTTCCCTTCATCTGTAAAGCGGTGCTCTGGTGCATACAGTGGCTCAAAAAACTGTCCACATGTTTGTGCTATTTTCACTATTTACATTATTGTATATGAATGGACAGGTAGACCAAGGTTATGCTAGTGGGGTACTCTGTAGTACTCCCTTGGAGTGTGAATTTGAGCCCTTGCCCATGGGAATCCATGGTAATGTGGTGGCACTATGGGCCTTACAAGATGATGACTCATGTGGACGGTTTTTTGACCCAAGTATTTTACACAGATAATTAGCTGTTCTAGTATTTTGTGTGACCTCCCTTGACCTTAATTCCTGCCTGTCATATACCGGATCCAAGTACCCCCAGTACCTCCTATGAGCATCCCCACTGCTGGCCCGACCCCCTGTTTCCCTGTCCGCTACATTCCTCCTTCCTCAACAAATGCACGAAGTGCATCTCAGTAGGATTAGCTCTGCTACCTCCATCCAACTCTGTTCCGCTTTCCCGACACTACCCCTATGTCCTCCAACACCATACCCCTTCCATCCAACCCTATCTGGGGTTCCGCTCCTCTGCCCTATCGGTCCACCTGATCCTACTCCTACTCCCTCCACTTTTCCGACCCACGTGGTTCCTTCAGTTCTGCTTGTATTGACCTGCCCGACCATCAGTCCATCCGACCGCCTCACCGGTCCACTCCTAGACTAGGAACCACTCAACTGGTCCTATCCCTGTTTAGTACTATAGTTCCGCTTTTCGGATCCCCGGTAATCCCTATACCCTAGCAATTCTGATCCGTTGCGTACATACTGTTCCCTGAGCCTTTTCTCGTATGTCTCAGTCATCTCTCTTGTAATCCTGTACACTCAGCACATAGCCTTCTGCTATGCTATGCTCATTACTTAGAGTATATAAACCTATGTACATTTGTCTGTAGATACTCAGTCTGAATATTACCTTTTCTAAGCCCTGCTCTTCTGTCCTTTGACTTAAAAGTCTTTCCCAAGTCAAAACTCCTGTTCCCCGGCCTAGGGGATTGACTCCCTAGGTCGGCTGTCCTCTGATCCTCCAACCCTCTGCTTCCCCACTTCCCCATTCCTCCGTCCTACTGGTTCCGCTGGTTCCGCTGGTTCCGCTGGTTCTGCTGGTTCCGCTATTTTGTGAGTTCTGCTATTTTGTGAGTTCTGCTATTCTGTGAGTTCTGCTATCCTGCAGGTTCCTCCGTTCCTCTGTTCCTCCATTCATTTGACTCCCCATGCATCAGCCGCACTTTCCTGCACATCGGATCCGATCCCTGCACTCCCTCATATCCGCCCCCTCCATTCCGCTCTGCCTCAGACTTCATCCGAGCAGTTCCTCCCTCTCCGTTCCTACTGTGGGTTCCGACCCCAGTAGTCCCCTGCCTCTCTCCTGTCGGGCGGAACCCCCGCCCGACTTTCCCATGCTCACCTAGTAGTCCGACGGTCCTCCTTCAGAGGATCCCCATTCCGACGTCCTGTCGGAACCCATAGAACTCGCATTGGACTACATCCCGAAATTAGAGGCACATACTCAGGTAAGGGGCGCAGCGTATGAACTGAAGCCAAGCCCCCCAGACTCTGCTTTACCCCGAGCACGGTCTTAACACTGCCTCTATCCTTCTAGGCATACTTTCAATCAACTTCTGACAATCTTCTGCTGTAAATTTTCCCCACTTCACTGTAACTCTCTCCCATAACTCCCATACTCCTTTAGGAGGGTGTTCATAGGCTAAAAGCTTCTTCTTGAGTACTCCCCAGAGATGTTCAATGACATTGACATCAGGGGATTGTACTGGCCAGTCAAGGAGGTGAATATTGTGCTCTTCAAACCATTCTCTGGCTCTTCTGCATGTATGCTTGGGATCATTATCCTGTTGGAAAATAATATCTTCTTCATCAATTCCTGATTCTGCCATGCTAGGCAGCAAGTGGTGGTTGAGGATGTCCACATACTGCTCAGCATCCATCCTCCCCTCAACTTCTGCAAGCATTCCCACACTATTCCACCCCATACATCCCCATACCATTAGAGAACCTCCTCCAAACTTGAGAGTTCCATTGATCTCTCTGTCTGTAAGAGGGCCCCCCTTCTTTTTCCACACATATACCTTCCCATCTGACCCAATTCTATTGATTTTAGTCTCATCAGACCATATGACCTGCTTCCAGTCCTCTACAGTCCAGTTTTGATGGGCTAGGGCAAAGGTTAGTCTTCTCTTCCTATGAGTGATGGAAAGAAGAGGCTTTTTCTTCTTTGTTACAGCCCTAAGATTGGCTTCCTTGAGGACATTCCTCACTGTTTGTGAAGAAACTGGAGTAGGGATGATGGAATTGATATGATGAGTGACTTGGACAGCATTATCAGCCTTTCCTGTGGTGATATGTTGGATAATGACCCTCCTATCAGTAGAGGTGAGTTTGGATGGACAACCTCCACTGGAGTTTTCCTTGTCTGGGTGACATTCTTTGATGAGCTTAGCTACAGTAGACTTGCATACACCAGTTCTAGAGGCTATTTGATGAGTAGAGAGGCCAGTAGTAGACAGAGAAAGGATATTATCCCTTTGAGGAGAGGAGATGGTTTTCATGGTGATTATGACTATGATATATGGGACACACTTCATTATATACTTAGCAATAGGTTTAATAATGTCATAATGACACCACTTCATAATTTATTTAATAGTGGCATGACTTTATGATGTCATAACTAATGATTTATATAATTTTAATCTAGGGTCAAAAAACCGTCCACATGAGTCATCATTTTGTAAGGCCTATAGCGCCACCACATTACCATGGATTCCCACAGGCAAGGGCTCAAATTCACACTCCAAGGGAGTACTACAGAGTACCCCACTAGCATAACCTTGGTCTACCTGTCCATTCATATACAATAATGTAAATAGTGAAAATAGCACAAACATGTGGACAGTTTTTTGAGCCACTGTAAGTGAGGTGGATTGAGATAGGCAGGATTAGCCCACAGTTCTTTGATGCATTCAACAGGATCTTGCATGAATAATTCAAACTCTTCATTGATGCCTGATATCTGAATGACACTGTGGCACCATGGAGTAACACCAGTGAGTTTGTGATCAAATTTTTTGGTGGAGCACACAGGCATTCTTGTAAGATAGGTCAAGTTTATGTTTCACCTAGCAAAAATACTTTAGGCATAATATAAATGCCACTGCTATGTGCTTACCTGATTGATGGACAAAAAATTTGAGAAGGTGTTTTGACTTGGCCCTTGCTGTATGGCCCACCAAGCTATCTTGTAGTCACATTCACTGAGAAAAGGGTAGTGTTAAGGTCATGCTCAAGGGAAAGACTACTCAAAGGGCTTTGGCTTCAGCTCGTGCGCTGCGCCCCTTACCCGAGTATGTGCCCTTAATTTTCGAGGGGCAGAGGGGAAGTCTGACGGAAGTCCGGGGGGTTCCGGAGGACAAACATCGGTGGAGTTCGGGGGAACTCCAGAACTCCGGAAGACTATGTGGGGATGGAGTAAGGCTACTATGGAAGTCTGGAGTAGAAATAGAACAGAGGTTAGACTACCCTAAGGTAGAGCCGGAGGATTAGTCCTAAGGTTTAACCCCTAAGACTTGGAGGTGGACAAGAGATGAGACTCAAGTCCGGAGATTGCAGGAATGAGCAGAACTAAGATGGAGAGTTGGGGGTATAGTCAAAGGAATCAATCCTAAGACTCAGAGATTGACAAGAGACAAGCTCAAGTCCGGAGGTACAGGAATGAGCAGGAACTAAGGTGATATTTGAACTGAGGAGTTCTGGAGTATTACAGGGGTTTATATACTGTAGGTATCATGTAAGTAAATCAGTCAGCAAAGGTAAGGGCTATGTACGAAGCATGTGGAAAGTCTATTAGTAAGTGTAACAGATCAAAGCAGTGAAGTCGGAAATGAAGTAAGAATGGACGGATCAGTAAGCATAGCGGAAAAGGACATAACTGGTAACTGGAGCAATAGCTAATCTAAAAGGAGTTAGGGGTGAGTGCAGAGATGAAGGCGGAGCACTGGGCAGAATAGCAGGACGGAGAACCAGACTTTAATGGAGTAGATCCGGAATTCCGGATCCGGAGGTATGGGATATGACAGGTAGTATGGATTATCCTTGGTCTGAAGGTCACAACAAGTCCGGGTGTATGTGGCATGAGTAGTATCATAAATCTGCAAGACCCGGCCTGCTTCTGGAAATTTGTTGACAGCAAGTATGGTGTCCTCATGGTCATTGCACATGGCTTCATTGGGCAGCATTGCATGGGGCTGCAACAGTGAGCCAGCCTGCTGTTGCACTTCCTCCACTTCAGCGGCTGTGAGTGGGTGCAGTGCCTGTCAAGCCAAGTCAGCGATCCAAGAAGATCATTTATAGTGATGTCCTCTGTGATCACGACTGGTCCCTAAACAGCAATTACTGGGACGCAAGTTGCCCTTCTCAAGCTTACATCCCTTTATCTCCTGATAGCACCAGATTTGCACACTGGGCCACTACATTGGAGGCCCAGGGACGAAACAGTGCTAACATCTTGTTGACATGGTGTCTGAACCCTGATATGGCCACCGAGATCTTTGCAACAACAGAAAATGCACACGCACTGATGCAGGCTGTGGCCTTCACTTACACACTATCATACACCACACCACCCAGTGTCTCCCTGTGGTGGATCAATGCGTCCTTCCCCACAGAGGTAGCATTAGCAGCTAAAATTGCGGGAGTTCATTGAGGCATTCTGGACCAGTACAGATTCGTCGTCTACAACTTTGTCAGAGACCTGGATTGGAAGATGCACTCACTGCTTGCTCCATTAGTGGGCAAGATCACTGACACCGGTGTGGGTTTCGGTTGCTACTGCATTATCAGCACGACTGTGGCC